AACGAATTTTAAAAAATTATGCAAGTGAGAACACAGCCTCTATGTGAAGGCCCTATAGAAGCCTGGTACATCTGTTTCAAAGCACCGAAGTGCAGACTGTCCCTAAAACAATTGTGGCATTTGTAACTCTTTCCATTCTGACTGTGCAAAAGAAAAATTTGCCAAAATAGCCATTGTGTGAAAACCACCAGTAAGTTTCATTTCCAAATGTGATGTCATTTGTACTTTGCAGAGCTGGGGGGGCAGCGCTGCAGAGCTGCCCTCTTCAGAGGAGAGGGTGGCATCACGCTGAAGTAGCAGCTTCTGAATATTTGGCTTCCACAAGTCACTGGAGGAAAGAGCATCCGCAAGGATGGTAGACTGACCAGCTTCATGGAAGGGAGACCCACTGAATATGAGGTAACCAGGAAGAAACTGGTTCTTGTCCTCTTTCCCCAGGCATCCACTTCTGGCCATAGCTGGAGATAAGATACCAGCGCCTGACAAGACAACTTTTGCCTGACAGACGTAGCTCTGCCTTTGCAAGACTGTGTGCAGAAGGTAAATGCGACCAAGCTCCCATCTGTGCCATGAAGCTGGAAACAAGAAAGTGGCAAAGAGCTTCGAAAAGGTAAAATAAATTAAAAAAACCTGTTTTTTCGATCCCATCAGAGCTCTGGCCACGGTTTCCGAGTTATTGTGACTGAGTGAGAAAATTGAGAAACTTCCCCAAAGCAAGGTCTGAGTGCTCAAAGCTATGCAAGAGCACGGCCCAGACAAGTACTTCTCTTCTGGATCACTCCAAAAAGTAGTGGGAGTCTTGATAAGGAAGTGTTCCTCACTACCAACTGTCCTACATGTGAACTAGCCAGACTGGTTACAGCTTAATTAAAAATTGCCAGAGTGGCTAAATTCTTTTCTAAGTGCAGCTGCAAAACGTTAGATGTGGGCATATTTTAGACCTTAATTAGTAACACTTGCACTGGAGGACCAAAATCTTTCATGAATGCAGCTGCAATCAATTAATATCAGTTAGGCAGTCTGTAGGTGATAAAAGGGTCTCCTCAAAATCGTGTTAGTGCCCACCTAGATTAAAAATATAAAATACTTATATGCAACAAACTACAAAATCAAAGATAACTACAAAATGTCTTTATTGAAAAAAGCAGATTATAGCATCTAAGGTTAAATGAAACTTCTGACTTTAATATTAAATAACTTAGGATGATAGCAAGTAGCTTCTTCTTTAGATAAATAAATCTACATTTCCCAATTTTTTTCTTCAACAATCAAGGGAATCAAACACTGAAACACAAAACCACAAGTAATTCTAAAGACTAAAAGACAGAAGCACATTGAAAGGTTTTACAAGGATATATATACAAAAATAGTTAAACTAATGTATATTTTCAGCATGTAAACTAGTTACATGATATACAAACTGGGAATTTATATATTTCCTACAAAATAAAAATCAACGTTGGTCCAAGTTCTTGGAAGAAAACTATATTCTTTTAAAGAAAATGAAAATATTTCTCAAATGAAAACTTAATTTAAGTCAAATTATATACTCTAGTTACGGCATTAGTTACAGGATGAATCACAAACTTTTAAACTTTTCTTGAAACACAAGAAAGCAGCTTTTGTCTCCTTTAGAGCTTTGGTTTACTTAACTACTCTGGAATTTCTGGTCTTAAAGAGCTCCTCTAACCATGTTTTCCTTTTGAAGCTCCACCTTACAAAATATATATATACACACGTGCACACAAGTGAAAGGAAAAGGAAAGAAACCCAAACAAACCCTCTTTCAAAGCTCAATTATCTGAGTGCATTCTTTTGTTTTGTTTTCAAATTATTATTTTGGTCCTTTCTTTGGAACGCGTCCTCCAGAGCACGCGGGACTGTGACTCGCCCACAACAGCTTTGTGCCGTGGGGACGCTGTAAGCTCCCTTATCCACATGGAAAGGTGTAGTCCTGATGCGAATGAGAACAAGTTGTTACTGTTTTAACTTTGTGGAAATATTCTGAAAGTACAGCAAAGGCTTCTGAAGAACAGTCACATCGTAAAATGAACTCTAGAAAGTTTACATCTGTGTTGAACTGATTTAACGTAAGAATACTCCGTAAGAAACTCATTAAAAGAAGCTTTCTTATTTACATAATTCCCCAGACAGGAGGTAAAATGTGCAGGAACTGTCACTAGCACTAAAGAGTACAGCACATCATTATTTTAGATTTGCTTTTATTTTTCTCTTTCACTGAAAAAAAAATAAACCAACCCCCCAAAAAAACACCCCAAACCCAGCAAATTTCACTTGAGCTCCAGTTTTTGTACTAAATGCTGGAAAAGCAAAGCTGTACTTCATTATACAGTAATGGAATGCACCTGTCTATAGAAAATACTGGAACAACAACTGCTGCTTTCTGGTTTTAAACAAATTGCTTCATCTACATTGAAATATTAGCTTTTGATATTTTTACCACGGTGATACTTAACACATTGGAACTGGGTAGAACTACAAGAGACTGACAAATTAACATGTAAAATGAAATTAAATATTACTGTGTCCTACTGTATGATCGGTTTCAAAACAGAAGAAAAGGCATGGTATGTACATGTCAGATAGTGTGCTGTCCCTGCAAAAGCATGTTGGAGTGGAAACTTAAACTTGTCACTGAAGGAGGCAAGTGTATTTTAATGATTGCTTTCTTAATTTGGATTCCTTAATACATATTGTAAAGACAAGCAAGTAAAAATGCCTCAAAGCTAAATGTGGTCCAAAGCAGCTTCCTTAAATGGAAAAAGTATTACATTGCAGCTGATACTAAAAGTTTATCCTGAATCTTCAATCTTTGTAATAACCTTAAGGAATTGACCTAATCACACAATCCAATTTAAGACAGTTTTTTCCCCTTTTCTAGCATTTGCCATTTGGGTGAGAGGCACATCTATTTCCACTTCCTTCGAAGGCTGGGCTGGTGACACAGAGGTAATGTCTGCAAACGCCGAAAAAGTGTGCATGCGCCCTATGTCCTCACTTTTACAGGCCAGACATCTTAGGTCAAGCTGTAGAAGCAGGGCACTAGTCACACTGTAATTCCTTCAAAACATGATGGCTATCATATTAAATATCTTAATTATAAACTGATACGTATTTATTAGAAAATGACTTTTTAAAGGAGCACCTGACTTGCCATGGAGCATTCAGTAGGACAGGTTAATCTAGGCCAATGGAAGTTTGGCAAAAGTTCAGGAAACATACCTTTTGTTCCTGCCTAACAGAAAAAAAATAGTTCACAGGAATTTTTCCTGCCTCCCTCCTTCCCCCATAAGGAAATTCCAGACTATCAAAAAGTTCTGCTAAGGGAGTTAATTATTCCACTTAGGAATTAGCGTCCATTGGATGCTCTCTGGACTTTTCAAGAGCACCACAAATGGCTTTCAAAAAATCAATGGAGCGTAAGAACGTAAACGGCAATGGTGTTGCCAAATAAGTCATTTCATCAGTCTGTGTGCTGAATTTAACATGGGATCATTTCCAAATGGATCGCTCAGATTCTTGACGTGTTGAGCACTGGCATGGAAATGTCCCAATTTACAGATGCGGAGAATCTGGTCTGGTATTTCCACTTCCTCTGGCGCAAAAGAATTTTATTTTATTGTAATTTTGGATACAGTTAAAGACAGCAACGATGGATTTATTTAAAATATAAATTCAGGAAGGCTGGATCAATTCTCATGAGAATGCAAGGAATTTTTTAAACATACAGATGTGTGATTTGCATGTAAATCATCAACACATGGTAGAAAACAAACCATAAAAAAGATTCATCTAACTTCCTATATGGAAGACATATATTTCCCCAGAGCTCTGAGGTTACTGTAAAAGCTTATGCAAAATATGAGTGTGTGTACATTCTATGTACATCTAATACTTGTTATAAAATACCAATGTTTCAACGGTCTGACTCTCTAAATTATTTTGTACTTTGTTTTCCAATGAAGACAATCACCGTAATCAGTACATCTAGAAAAGAACACAAAGCTGAAAAGACAATACAAAAACCACTGTCCCCCTCTTTTTTTAATAATGTATCAACACACAATCATAAAGCAGTTGGTAACAAATGAAGTCTTGTGTAAAACAAGTGGTATAAAGACAAGTGTACCTTTGCATAGAAAGGGGCTGCTAACCCTATTAAACAAAAAACAGGTTTAAAAGGTAAATTCTTTACTAAGTGCCAAATCATCAAGTTGATATGAATGCATTTTGAAACCATGGCTACACTTGTACACGGCAAGCAATTACAGAGGTCTGCAACTTTCTCCAACTGTTATGACCCTGCACGTGCCAATCTTTTAGATATATTCCTCTGTAAAGTGGTTTTTATATGAGGTGCTTGCCATATTCCTTTAACAAGCTAAATAGTCTTTGGATGGCTCTGGAACCTTGTAGGCTGGAAAGCTGCCCTGAGGCTTCTTCACGGAATGCCATTATTAACCCATGCTGAAAACTGTCACTGCTAAGAACACTTGTTTGCTTCCTATTCGCTACTTCTGGGAATCTAAGTTTTAAAAAATGTGTGACTGTATTCTCTAAGACCAGAATTCAAGAAAACTAGCTAAAATGCTAGCATTTATCTTATCACGCTTGCTGCAATATGATAAGGTGCTAAGTTTTGGAAAGTAATTCTACACTCCTTACTTAGGTGAAATCTCCACTGAAGTGAGTAGGGAGTGCAGAACAGCCCTTTGTACCATTGTTTTTAGAAATGCTGCCATTTACAGTTACAGTTTAGTGGTGAATTATTTATTCAAGTAGACGGTGTCTCAGTGAAAATGTCTAGATACAAGAATGCATATGTACAAGATCAGAAAAGGACCCCCCACCTCTGATTTAAAAAATAAATAGCTGGTTTAGATGGTTATTACTGGAATCTCATCTTTAAAGGAACAGGAAAGTAATTTTTCGATTTTTGTCTTCTCTTTCAAACGGCTTATTGGTAATGGAAATGTCTCTCAGAGTTCTGTGACATGCATTGGATAGCTCGGAGGTGGATGTGATGGCAGTTTAATATTAAGACGCCTGATATGACAGCCGTGGCAGAGCAAGTGGCCCTCTAACGGGTAACAACGATGGCCTTCCTCATCATTGAGCTGCAAGCCACAATCCTAAAGGAAACACATACATCCCAGGTTAGTGAGTGATTTGGGTAGGCGATCTCACAACAATCTGCATCCATCCTGCATAACCCTGAGAGCGCCCTCCCGTGCCTCCAAAGCCAGCAACCTCAAGAGTTTTTGGGAGGTGGACCCTCACTATCTCATATTAAGCAAAAGGACATCACTGAAATCGAACAGGACAGTCTATTGTAGTACCCAGCATTTTTTCCCCGTTGCTTCCCATTCTGTTCTCTTCTTCATCTCATAAATGACTCACAACCGGGAAGAGGTTAGGACAGAGAAGGAGCTCACTCTGCAAGAAGGCAGCAGGCAAGAAACGGGGGAGCCTAAGCAGAGAACGGGAGGAGTGGGGAAGAGGGGGCAATGAGACATTACTTCTGAAGCAGGGCTACACTTTGTCCAATTTGGAATTAAAAAAGATTAAAGACTTCAAGGCCAATGGTCCATCTTTAGTAGGAATATGTTAGTACCTCTGGGCCCGGCACATAACTACGGGACGACAACAGCAGAGGTAAAAAGAAAAACAACAAACAATGATCCTGCCTGCTGACTACTATGTACGCTGCAACAGAGACAATCCTGGTTTTCAGTTGTCATCGTTGTAATTTTGAGGACATTTGAAAGTCATGGCAGTTTTGTGCTTGGTTTTGACATTTCAAGTACGTTAAATACTTAAAAACTGTTACTGAGCAGTTCTGACAAACCAGAGATTCTGAATATGTATCCGTGCACTTAACAGAAAGGAAAAAAAACCCTGAACAAGTTGGGCATATAGGTCATTTTAGTATTGAAAGCTGATGCAAAATTTTTAATTGGACACCAAGTACGATTTCACAGCTCAAGTTAAAATCCTCAAATTTTACAATGCTGAAATAAGAATGATGAATGGGTTTTAAAGTAAGCTTTAAAACTCAAGTGTTAGTTTAGGGAGGCTTTAATCAAAGCTTCTGCCAAGGTAGTTTTCTGTGTGTTACTGTATGTTATGTGAAAACTTTACGGTCTTTTATGGAAGATTTAAAACTCATTTCCTCATTAGAATTTAACAATTTCAGATACCCTACAGATGTGCCGAGTGTCCATACCTTTTTCCCTCTCCAAACTTATATTCCTTTTGTGCTTTCTCGGCAGATTTCAGTTTTAGAATGGGAGTCTACTGATCTGTAAACTGGCTTGAACTGCTCAGTAGAAGTGCGGTCATTGCACAAGAAAGAGATGATACAGAAAAGCAGCAAAGTTTCCAAACTCACTACTGACTTTGCATGGCCACCAGGTGATGATGACATTAGCAGCACTTCAGCAGTGGCTGCGTAAGTCGTCATAGCCTTTACAGACGTCTCCATGTGAATACCTCAAAATACTGGCACCAGCTTTTCTAGCAGTGTTTGGAGACAGCAGTGAGCCGGCGTGTACAGTCTGAGAGCCTGAGCCGAGACCATTAGGCGGTAATCTACCCTGTTAACACATGGCTAACCCCCTGATTTCTGTACATAAATGCACTCTGCCATTTGGGGCAGATGTGGAGGCAGCCTGATTTGCCTCAAACTGGAAGGAGAATGGGGAAATGAATAATGAAACAGAACTGAAAATAAACCCCCAGTGGGACATTCTAATATAAAGTCAATAGCCTGAGAGAGAAGGGGAGGGAGCTGTCATCTTAGGTGAAGCCTGCACAAAGCAATAGATGGGGGAAGAAGGAGGAGGGAAGTACAGCTCTCCAAAATGCTGCGACTTCCTGCGCCAATTTCTCTTTAAAAATTAATAGAAAAGAATGGAGTATCAGGTATCTCTGTTGGGAGGAGACAGCTGAGTGGATGGGGTCTTCCTTATGTTTAGGTTCGTATACATTTCAAGATGCCCTGAATTTTTTTATTTTCGTCCTCAATCAGAATTCTCTTTGTAAAACCTTTTTGTGCAAAAGTACATGGAAGATAGTACTGCTGCATTTTTGCCTCTGGTGCTGAGACATTTAGGTAGCACAGTTAGGATCTGTGTGGATATTTGCGTGTTCGATCAGAGCGCCAAACCTACAGCAAAAGGGAAGTTTTGGGTTGATCCCTAATTAAAGAGTTTGCTTCCCTCCTCATGCTCCTGAATGCAGAGCTAGGACTGAACTCAGCTCTCCTCTCTGAAGCAAGAGCACTAATCCCACAACTTCATCTGCACCAATAAACGTTTAAATGTCCTGCACAAAAAGAAACTACTCCCCAAAAAATGACAGAATGTCAGTGATATCCCTGTCTCTCTTCTAGTACCGAATCACTATTCATTCTGCATGGAAAAAAGACAATCCCCTAGAAAAGCCTTCCAGTGTGGGAGGGAGGATCCTTCCCTGCACAGGCGATGTGAGTTCAAGTCTCCTCAGATCAGAGCTACACAAGCTGTACCCAGACATCAGGAAAAACAGAACTGGCACCTACTCTCTGTTTTCTCCCCATCTGGAAGTATTGAGAAAATTCAACCCAAACAACCAAACCCAGCTTTTAAAGTTAATATAACCGCAAAAAAAGACCAGATTTGGTACTGGAGATGGCAGTACCATCTGCAGCGCAGGCAGCACTCACCCCTTTGCCTCCCGCCAGGAGCCGTGGGGCAGAGCCCTACCCGCCCAGGCATGCGAGAGCCAGCAAGCGCACTCCGGGGTGCGAGTCGAGCACCCACCAAGCGGCTGCTAGTTATTAGCGAAGCCTCGTCATGGGACGGGCCGGCAGAGGCACCCGATGCTCACCTCACAGTGATAGCACTCCACGTGGTAGTCTTTGTCCATTGACACCACCCGAATGGTCTCCTCGGAGCCCTGTTGGGGAAGCAGAGAGAAGGTAAGAGTGGGCTTGTACGCGGTGTTTTCTCAATCTTCTTTCAGTGCCCAACCTATCGCTTCGGAGAGCTGTTTCCCTGGGGGATGCCCTTGTCCTCCGCAGAGCTCTGTGACTGCTCAGGGTCTTGTCCCCGGCTGTGCAGAGCTGCACCGCTGGTTTTGCTGTTTAGCAGCAGCGTGGGTGTCTGACATATCTAAGCTGTAGAGGTCATTTGGGAAGTATAGACAAAACTTCATCCTCAAGGGACAAATCAGTCTTGCGATCAAATAATTTTCCAAGGGCACCCAGGATCTGAACGAATTGCCAGTCAAAAACTCTGACCTGCTGATTGGGTAACTTTTCCTTGTAGACATCCTGGCCCGAGTTTTCTAGGACTTGTATTCCCCTCAAACCATCTCCTGCATAGCTATTTTGCACATGCACATGTCACTGTATGTACCCCATCAGGATTTACGTACCAGTCCGGCTGGTAATTATGTGCACAGGCCAAAACTTCAGCATGAGGGTGGATGCAGTGGAGTTGTGTAATTCCTGGCTGAGCCCCAGGCCCTGCAGAGCAGCCCATACCCTTCTTGTAACCTCACACACTCT